GTATAAAACAAGAAATCTGTGAGCCAATGCTCACTAGTAATACCCCCGCTTTGATGTAAATAAGCACTATCATGTTAATATACACAAGTTCAATTATAGGCAGATGCACAGAAAAATATGAAGTTGACATCGGATTCATATCAAACTTAATCCCATTTCAGGCACGTAGCATCGTTTTTGAAAGTGGGGGGGGGGGGGGGGCCAACCAGAGAAAATTTGTTTTTACTTACCTGAAAAAGTGTGAGGTAGGGGGGGTGGGGGTGGGGGTAGTGACCAATTTTTCCAAAGCCAAATTACTTTCACTTCCAATTTCTTCCCTACAATTCCTTGATAACACTATACTGTGCTAAAAACTGGGGGGGGGGGCAACCTTCCTTTCAGTGAACATTTCCTATAGTAAAGGTAATGTTGGCCAAAAAATTGGAGGGGCCAGGCCCCTGATGCCCTCCCCCCCCCCCCCGGTTGCTACGTCCCTGCACCTTATGGCATGCCTCAAGAAGGAGTGTAATAAAATTTCAAGCATCTGCTATGAATAGCTAATGAGAAAACTACGACGAAAATTTGTTATGTATGAAACGGACAGATGCACAGACAAACAGGAAGTTGCCATCAGATTTTATCAAAAATATACCCCACCATATGGCATGCCTCATAGAAGATTGTGTAAAAATTTCAAGAATCTACGATGAGTAGCTGATGAGAAAACTGTGACAATAATTTGTTATGTATGAAATGGACAGACGCACAGACAAACAGGAAGTTGACATCTGATTTTATCAAAAAAATATCCCACTTTATGCTATGCCTCAGAGAAGATTGTGTTAAAATTTCAAGCATCTACGATAAGTAGTTGCTGAGAAAAATGTGACGAAAATTTGTTACGGACAGACACACTGACAGCTAGACAGACGGACAGACAGACGTACACACAAGTGTAATATTAGTTACATAGTCTTTTTGTGACAGGGTATGGGATGATACCTGGTTAGTAAATTTCATACCTGGCGAGGTGGAGCCGAGTCAGGTATGAAATTTACTAACCAGGTATCATCCCATACCCTGTCAGAAAAAGACTATGTAACGAATTTACCTCACCGATGAAACATTTACTCTTTATCTGTGGTTTAGAAATGATTTTCTCTGCTAAATGATTCATCATGCTTATACTGTGCCTATTATGACATCACGCTATGTTTGTTACGTAATACATCGACCGGGTATGTCTAGGCAGGGCTTATAGTTACTTTGGAATGAAAATATAGGTCAGATCCAGCATCCGAAGCAAGTCTGGTAGTGTCCATCCCTAGATGCATCATCCATGCAAGTTTGGTTCAGGCAGGTCTTATAGTAACTTGGGAATGAAAATGTAGGTCAGATCAAGCATCCGAAGCAAGTCTGGAAGTGTCCATCTCTAGATGCATCATCCATGCAAGTTTCATTCAAGTAGGCCTTATAGTTTCTTAGGAAGTTAGGAATGGACCTTCTCCAAAAACTTTAACCTGGTCACTCATCTGGAGAATGTAGGTCAGATCCAGCATCCCAAGCAAGTCTGGTAGTGTTCATCACTAGATGCATCATTAGTGCAAGTTTGTATTTGACAACATGTGAAGTTTTATAATACCATCTTGAATGATATGTTTAAAACTGAGCTAAACACTAATTAAAGAAAAGTGAGGTCAAGGTCAAAGAAAAGTTCAAGGTCAAAAATGTTGATGCAGTTGTATAGCTTTCATCAATATCTATCATCATATGAAGTTTGATGAAAATATCTTGGATAGTTTCTTTGAACAGAGCTAAACGCAAAGTGCGACGGAAGGACGGAAGACGGACATGACAAACACTATATGCCCCGAACATATTGATGGCGGGGCATAAAAAAACTAGAAATATGTCCATAGGACATGAATGCCCCGCCGAGGATATATCAGTAAAGCAACATGAAAATTTGTATGTGTATAAAATTTGATCAGAATATCCAATATAGTGATGCAGCTGATTTGCTTGTTTGGAAAATAAAGGTCAGATCCAGCATCTGAAGCAAGTCTGGTAGTGTCCATCCCTAGATGCATCATCCATGAAAGTTTGGTTCAGGTAGGGCTTATAGTTACTTGGGAATGAAAATATAGGTCAGATCCAGCATCCGAAGCAGGTCTAGTAGTGTCCATCCCTAGATGCATCATCCATGCAAGTTTGGTTCAGGTAGGGCTTATAGTTACTTTGGAATGAAAAAATAGGTCAGATCCAGCATCCGAAGCAAGTCTGGTAGTGTCCATCCCTAGATGCATCATTCAAGTAAGTTTGGTTCAGGTAGGGCTTATAGTTACTTGGTAATAAAAATAAAGGTCAGATCCAGCATCCGAAGCAAGTCTGGTAGTGTCCATCTCTAGATGCATCATTCATGCAAGTTTGGTTCAGGTAGGGCTTATAGTTACTTGGGAATAAAAATATAGGTCAGATCCAGCATCCGAAGCAAGTCTGGTAGTGTCAATCAAAAGATGCATCATCTATGTAAGTTTGGTTCAGGTAGGGCTTATAGTTACTAAGGAGTGAAAATATAGGTCAGATTCAGCATCCAAAGCAAGTTTGGTGGTGTCCATCCCTAGATGCATCATCCATGCAAGTTTGGTTTAGGTAGGGCTTAAAGTTACTTGGGAATGAAAATATAGGTCAGATCCAGCATCCAAAGCAAGTCTGGTAGTGTCCATCCCTAGATGCATCATTCATGTAAGTTTGGTTCAGGTAGGGCTTATAGTAACTTGGGAATGAAAATATAGGTCAGATCCAGCATCCGAAGCAAGTCTAGGTAGTGTCCATCTCTATATTCATCATCCATGCAAGTTTGGTCCAAGTAGGGCTTATAGTTCCTTAGGAATGGACCTGCTCTAAAAACTTTAACCTGGTCACTCATCTGGAAATTGTAGGTCACATCCAGCATCCGAAGCAAGTCTGGTAGTGTCCATCCCTAGATGCATCATCCATGCAAGTTTGGTCCAAGTAGGGCTTATAGTTCCTTAGGAATGGACCTGTTCCTAAAACTTTTACCTGGTCACTCGTCTTGAAAATGTCGGTCAGATCCAGCATCCGAAGCAAGTCTGGTAGTGTTCATCCCTAGATGAACCATAGCTCTCATCAATATCTATCAGCATATGAAGTCTGATGAAAATATCTTGGATAGTTTCTTTGAAACTTAGCTTTGAACAGAGCTAAACGCAAAGTGTGACGGAAGGACGGAAGACGGACATGACAAACACTATGCCCCGGCCATATTCATGGCGGGGCATAAAAATGACAAGCAAAAATAATGACATAACTGACAACTATCAATAAAACACACAAAATAATGTATAATACATAATAGGAGGCATAGACTGCCAAACCTGTCACAGACACCACCATACATGAAATTTTTATTAGAATTTCTATTTTACACTCGAACAACTAGTACATATTATGTCCTTTGCTGACTGTCTAGAGAATTTATCCTGCTGCAGAACTTTATTTAACTTTGTAAATATTTTTTAAAAATTTATGAGCATATGATGATAATATTTAGATTAAATCCAATAATAATCGACATAAAAATATTGTTACACATTAAATGAAATTTAACTATCTAAGCTAACCATTTCTTTGCTACCTCTTTTATTCACAATAACAAATGGAATCAGGCTACACATCAAACCTCTAGTATGGCTCTTTTCATGCTAGAACTGAGTTGTTCCCCTTGGTGTTTGATCAGGCAACTCCTGACAGGTGGCAGTTCAGACTCTACTAAGGTCACGGCTTTACTTCTCTCATTCGGCTTACAGATCAGGATACTCTCTCCTATAATTGTGTAGTGTAATTAATGAATTATTTAATTAATATAAAAATGATATTTCTCCTTAAACAAACATGTTAAAAAGAGTACAGCTGTATATGATGGGACCCATCAAAAAATTTTTCAAATTATCATAAGCTGTGAAAATTGATTGGTTAAGAGACATTGAAATTTCAAGCCAAGAATTTTTTTAAAAGAATTAACTAAAGGATATTTGTCATTAAAATTGTAATTTGTATATGTACATGTAGACCAAATCAGTCTACAATCTAAATTCTTGCATTAAAGAAAGTTCCTATTTCTGTTTAAAGACAAATAATAACAGTAATATTTATCAAAATGTTGTTCATGGGTAGATACATCAGGTAAAGTCAATATTTTTACAGGAGAGATTTAAATAAACTTATCTTCAGAACATTTAATGTATTTTTAAACAAGTAAATTTTTTTTTACCAAATTTACTTTTTTGTCAACATCATACATACAGGTATATTGAAAATAAAATTTTTCAAATCAAGTTTAGGCCAAATATAATTTGAAATTGCTAAATGATATCAATACCCTCAATCATGTGCATGTACAGGTATTTAAATCATGTGACCTGAAAGTAGGTCAAAATCTAGAACCAAGACCAGGACGTTGTTTGTTAGTCTCTATTCTGTGGTCAGGACGGCTATCTTGTAATAACAGGTGAGACTCAATAATTATTTTACGATCTGAATTGGTGTAAAATTAAAAAATAATTAAAAATTTAAAAGTTTTCAGAATATATCTTATAAAAAATGACATATAATTTATAAATGTCTTGATGTGCTGATCCAGTAAGCAATAAAGAGCTGCGTGTTATCACTGTATATAATCATGTATCCCCTCTTATCAACACTTACTGATTCATGTCAATTTTGAGCTTATTTAAAAATTTCTGTCTTTTCTCTCCTTTTATTGAGAGTAATATAAATTAATACACTATACATGCTATATTGCAGCATCCCCTTCATCATGTGACGGACCCCTATAATGGACCCCCGTTACAGTGCCCAGGACATCCTCCTCTGTGACCTGTGTCAAACAGCTGCATTACAGAGTCATTGTGAACTTTGTCGTGTTAATCTCTGTATAGTATGTGTTGGAAAACATCTCTCTGATTCATCTAAAAGACATAATGTTGTACCATACAAACACAGAACTTCTATTCCTAACATTAACTACCCAAAATGTACAAACCACACCCAGAAACACTGTGAACTTTATTGTGAGAAATGTGACATTCCTGTCTGTTCTACCTGCATCTCCTCTGGGAAACATAAAGGACATGATTTATCTGATGCTCTGCAGAAACTGAGTTCTAAAAGAGAGTATTTTGAAAAAGACTTAAAAGAACTAGAGAAAACAATCTTTCCTATATATGAAGAAATTGCATTAGATTTAAACTCTGAAAAAGAAAACTTGGAGAAACATTATGAGAAACTGACAACAGCTGTTACCAAACAAGGAGAAGACTGGCACAGAGAAATTAACATCATTGTCAACAAACAGAAATCTGAAATAAATGAGATGAAATCTAAACACCTGGCTGCTCTAAATAAACAGGAAAATGAAATCAAACAGATTACTTCTGATGTAAAAAAAAGAATACATGATCTGAGGAAAATACTGGACTCCAATGATGTCTCCCTAACCTCTGCATACAAATCCAGGAATGCTGAGTTCAGAAGTTTGCCTCCTAAAGTCAATGTTTTGTTACCAAGTTTCTCTCCTCATCAGATCAACACAGAACAGCTCCATCAAATGTTTGGTTCTCTGTCAGCATTATCCATTACAACAGAAAAACATGGCTACACAATGATGACACCAGAAGCTGTATCCTGTCCTCCAGTCAAACCATTGCTTGATGAACCAGAGCTCATCACCACCATAGACACTGGGTATAGACCATGCAGTGTTGCCTGTCTGAGTGATGAAGAAATCTGGACATGTGGAGATGACGAAATCATGAAACTCTACAACCTCCAGGGCAAACTACTGAAGTCAATCCAAACCAAGTCAGGGAACATCCCAGAGGATATAGCAGTGACAAGGAGTGGAGATCTAGTTTATACTGACCCTGATACAGGAAATGTAAACGTAGTGAAGAATTCAAAGATAAAAGAAGTGATCAGACTACAGGGGTGGATACCTCTCTATGTCTGTAGTACCTCCTCTGGTGACCTCCTGGTTATCATGGACAGTGATGATAATAAACAATCAAAAGTTGTCCGTTACTCTGGCTCCACAGAGAAACAAACCATTCAGTTTGATAGTGAAGGTAAACCTCTTTATTCCTCATCTGGTGGCTACACTAAATACATCAGTGAGAACAGGAACCTGGATATCTGTGTGGCTGACAATGAAGCCCAAGCAGTAGTGGTGGTTAATCAGGCAGGAAAACTCCGATTTAGATACACTGGTCATTCCTCTACTGACAAAGAACCATTTGATCCAGTCGGCATCACAACAGACAGCCAGAGTCAGATCCTGACAGCAGACAGTAACAACAACTGTATCCACATCCTAGATCTGGATGGACAGTTCCTCCGTTACATTGATAACTGTGATCTAAAGTTTCCATATGGTTTATGTGTGGACACCAGAGGCAACCTCTTTGTGGCTGAGTATAGCAGCAGTAAAGTGAAGAAAATCAAATACATGTAAAAGATCCACCATAACCATGCAGTAAATTAATAAATACCATGTTTGTTTTAATCATGACCAATTGATGTAATTATATGGAAGAAACTATGTGTAAAAATAGTATACAATCATTTTCATTGGAATTACATTATTATGGAATAAACTGTGTTGTTTCTTTATGATCATTTTAACAAAAATGTTAGGTGTTGTATATAATTGCTTCTAGGCACAGAATTAATATAAAATTAAACAAGCAAATTCAAAGAATTGTGGTCCCCCACTTTCGGTGCCTTTTTGGGTGAGATGTCATTTTTTATGACATTTTGTGTCTAATATGAACACCCTAGCATGAGTCATCTATTTAGAAATTATAACTGAACTCCAAGGTCAAGGTGTTAATGGTCTTGGTATCCAATGAATAGTTTTCTCAAAAGAATTACATGTGTGCAGTATGAAAGCGCTAGCCCTTACCATTCAAATGTTTTGGCAAGATTAAAGTTTTCTCTTAAGTACAAAAAATCTCCAAGGTCAAGGTCAAAAGGTCAAGGTTGTTGGCATCAAATGAAAGGGGTTGCCATAAAGAATACATATGTAAAATATGAAAGTCCTGGTGTCTACTGTTCAAAAGTTGTGGCCAAGGTCAAACTTTTTGCAACGTAGGTCAAACTCCAAGGTCAAGGTCCAAGTTCATGGTATGAAACAATGAAAGGTCTTTTCACAAGAATTATATATATGAAGTATGAAAGCCATAGCCCTTACCATTCAAAACTTATAGTCAAGGTTAAATTTTTTCATAAGTACTGAAATCTCCAAGGTCAAGGTCAAAGTTGTTGGTACCCAATAAAAGGTCTTGCTACAAAGAATACATATCTGATATGTGAAATATGAAAGTCCTAGTACCTACCATTCAAAAGTTATGGCCAAAGTAAAAGTTTGGAATTTTTGTGTAAAAGTGGGTCAAACTCCAAGTTCAAGGTCAAAAGGTCAAATTTGGTGGTACCCAAAGAAAGGTCTTGTCACAAGGAATACACATATGAAATATGAAAGTCATAGCTCCACTAAATCAAAAGTTATGGGCAAGGTTAAAGTTTTTGTGACGGACGGACAGACTGACAGACAGACAGACAGACAGACGAATAGACGGACAGACGAATGAGATTTAATGTCCCCTCGCTTTCGCGAAAGCGGGGGACAATAAACTGTAAAATACTGATGGAGATGATAATTATAGATAGTTTTCGATTGACCTAGAGTTACTTCCCATTGGCCGCCATACTGGAGGTCCAAACGCTCATATTCCTTCATTGTTCAACCAATTAAAAATTTTTATATTTGCTAATCTGAATTAGAAATCATTATTTTTCTGAAGTATATAAATTTTTGAAAGCCTCCTTTATTTAAGAAAAATTATTTGAGAAAGATTTTCCACCAAATATTTCTGCTTTAGTTTCTTAAACTTGGTAAGACAAAGAGGGAAAATCACAGAGTCGACTTCCAATATGGCGGCCAATGGGAGGTAACTTTCGCTAAATTCAGGCCTATCGAAAACTATCTATACAATATCATTTGAACATTACATAAGATGGCGTGTATAAACTTACACTAATGTCAATTTCAAAGCTCTAAAAAAGATAATATGTCATGTATGAGTTGGTTGCTTGGAAGTTAAAAGTAAAGAGGATGTTCAAGTTTGTGGAGACAGAAATTTTTTCTCATTGGTTTATGCATTTTGAACCGTATTATCGATTGATATAATTTATAACTCCTATGTTACTTGTATGATATTTGTTAATCAATGTAGTAGAAATAAAATATGAATGATTATTATGGTTCTATCCATGGGATAAAGAAATTTGAAGTAAAAAAACTTAAGCTCTATATACATTTAATTGAGAAGAATTATTGAGCATCAAACTCAATTTTTTTTTGATTGACATTGGCAAAGTTGTTCTGGAGAGGCCTTATTCTTTTTTAAAGATTATGCACTTTTACTACCAAAAAAAATAAATCAGCCAGTCATCATATGAGTGATGGATATTAAAATACACTAACCCTGTGTATCCACCCCCTTTCTTCCAGCTCGACCAATCATCTGCTTGTAAGTCAGGAAGTCTATGGTTTTCCCATGGAAGATTGGGGTCCTGATGATGACACGGCGGGCAGGAAGATTGACCCCGGAGGACAGGGTGGAGGTAGCTACCAGGACCTTAACTGACCCCTGTCTGAAGGCCCCCTCTAAAATGTCTCTCTCATCAAAGGTCAAACCTGCAAGATCAAAGGTCAACAGTGCAAGATCAAAGGTCAAACATGCAAGATCAACTCACAAGTACCTGTAAATGATGGATCTGTAATATGAATATTACACTACTCAAATGAGAAAAATGTGCTATGAATATAACTGAAAAATGTTGAATTATTACTGATGTTGTGCTATCCTAGTTGATTAATACTGATATTTACTGATATCATTATGATTGTTGCTGATAATTTTAGCAATTAGCCTGTTATTGATAAATACTGATACACTGTAATTACTGTAGTCTTTACTGTTGAGTTTGATAGATACAACAACCAAAATTGGCAAAATGTTTGTCATTCTTTTGTTTCTTGATGGATACAATCTGAAAAAAAAAGATGTATCAGCTGACAATCACAATACCTGCGTGATGATAAGCCACCCCATATGGCACGGTCTTCCCAAGGGTAGAATCTAATCCCACAGGAGTCCTCCTTAGTTGTTCCACAACCTCCATCAGGGAGAGTCTGTTCAAGGGTAAAGGGGCGGAACAGTCTGTCTCAGGACCTGACAATGTATAGAATTCATCATAGAGTAAAGGGGGGGGACAGTCTGTCTCAGGACCTGACAATGTATAGAATTCATCATAGATTAAAGGGGGGAACAGTCTGTCTCAGGACCTGACAATGTATAGAAAAATATATCATAGAGTAAAGCTGAATTCATCAGAAAGTAAAAATGAATTCATCAGAGTTAAGCAGAATTTACAAAGTAAACCAGAATTTATCAAACAATGAGCCTTGATAACTTATAGATTGTACCTCTGACCCAACATAGAGACACATACCTCCCCACACGAATAACATAAAGCAGAAAACATGCTTTTTCTTACGTCCTCACCTTTCTTCAGAATGCCGTAAAACTCCCTGGCAATCGTCTCTGCCAACTTCTCACACCAGTTCTTTGTCGGACAGAAAATAAGCACTGAGTGTCCCCCACCCAATGTTTCTAAGCACAGCGGAATCACATGATCTGTATCCCCTTTACACACCACTCTCAGATCCACCTCTCTAATTTTCTGTAGACTGGAATCAAAGATGTCTGTCCCCACTTTGACACACTCCGTGAGAGGTACAGGGCGGTAGTCTGTGCGGTAGAGCGTGGCGTTCAGCCAGTGTGACAGAAGGTCAAGGTTAGGTAGGGTGGCACTCATACCTACAATTTGGACTCCCTCTGTAGAACTTAAAAGAGAAATAGAAATGTTATAAGAAATTCTTTCGAAACATACTATAATTGTACAATAATTGGCATATTCAAAATTTAGCTAAATCACGCACTGGGTATGGAGTAGTTGGCATTATCATGAATTAGCGCTACACATTTTTGTATTATGTATTGTATATACAAATGATTTTTTAGCGGTATTCATAAATTACCCCATCTTTGATTGCACTTAAATATAAAGCCTGCTTTTTAAAGTTTTAATTGAAACTTAAAAAATGGTGTCATTTAACAAGTTTATATAAACGATAAAATGTCTTTCTTTGTTTGTTATTACTGGAATGAACGGAAGCAGCTGTTGCAGAAAAAATACATAACCTGCGTAAGCGGGTTATGTAAATTTTTTTGCAATAGCTGCGATCGTTCATTCCAGTAATAACAAACAAAGAAAGACATTTTATTGTTTATATTTACAACTGTTTAAATTATCATTTTAAGTAGGGCCAAAAATATTAATTATTGTAAATGATGCGAACGTCTTTGTACGTTTCATTGATGGAACGCGGCCACTGATCAAGAAATCTGTATAGGTGATATGCCTAATTTAGTTCATGCAGGGATGAACGCAATGGGTTTTCTTAAGAAATAAAAAAAATATTCAGTGGATGTAAATATAATGGTGTACTTTATCTTTGCCATGTACATGTAGAAAACAATTGGCAAAGTCCTGGTTCATTACCCATTATCCTCAGTGTCTGCTGTTTTTGTTGGCTTTTTCTGACTGAGGAATCGGATCTTGGTAAGCATCAGTTCTAGCAGGTAGCCCCTGTGTTGGTCTCCTACAAGGTGTAACTCGTCCACCACAATAATACCTGGAGGGCAGGTGAGAAAAGGTTATTTAAATGAAATAATCTTGATTCTAGATGTGGAGCCTACTCAAAAAGGCAAGGAAGTGAACTAATTATCTATCAGATATGATATCTTTCAAGATGTCAACTATCATCTGCCAATGACAAAAGTCTAAAAATTTGATCATTTTTGTATATATTTCTATGGAGCTCTTCTTCTAAAGGAGAACAATATTAGTCTGAAAGTGGCCAAAACCACCCAGCTCTCTTAACATGAGTTGGACTTTCCAAATCTTCAACACCCATATATATCTTGCTGATGTTGTATTACAGACCTAGCTTGTTGATGCTGTATTACAGACCTAGCTTGTTGATGTTGTATTACAGACCTAGCTTGTTGATGTTGTATTACACACCTAGCTTGTTGATGTTGTATTACACACCTAGCTTGTTGATGTTGTATTACACACCTACCTTGTTGATGTTGTATTACACACCTAGCTTGTTGATGTTGTATTACACACCTAGCTTGTTGATGTTGTATTACAGACCTAGCTTGTTGATGCTGTATTACACACCTAGCTTGTTGATGTTGTATTACACACCTAGCTTGTTGATGTTGTATTACACACCTAGCTTGTTGATGTTGTATTACACACCTAGCTTGTTGATGTTGTATTACACACCTAGCTTGTTGATGTTGTATTACACACCTAGCTTGTTGATGTTGTATTACACACCTAGCTTGTTAATGTTGTATTACAGACCTAGCTTGTTGATGTTGTATTACAGACCTAGCTTGTTGATGTTGTATTACAGACCTAGCTTGTTGATGTTGTATTACACACCTAGCTTGTTGATGTTGTATTACAGACCTAGCTTGTTGATGCTGTATTACAGACCTAGCTTGTTGAGGCTGTATTACAGACCTAACTTGTTGATGTTGTATTACACACATAGCTTGTTGATGTTGTATTACAGACCTAGCTTGTTGATGTTGTATTACAGACCTAGCTTGTTGATGTTGTATTACACACCTAGCTTGTTGATGCTGTATTACAGACCTAGCTTGTTGTTGTTGTATTACAGACCTAGCTTGTTGATGTTGTATTACAGACCTAGCTTGTTGATGTTGTATTACACACCTAGCTTGTTGATGTTGTATTACACACCTAGCTTGTTGATGTTGTATTACAGACCTAGCTTGTTGATGTTGTATTACACACCTAGCTTGTTGATGTTGTATTACACATCTACCTTGTTGATGTTGTATTACACACCTAGCTTGTTGATGTTGTATTACACACCTAGCTTGTTGATGCTGTATTACAGACCTAGCTTGTTGATGTTGTATTACAGACCTAGCTTGTTGATGTTGTAATACACACCTAGCTTGTTGATGCTGTATTACAGACCTAGCTTGTTGATGTTGTATTACAGACCTAGCTTGTTGATGTTGTATTACACACCTAGCTTGTTGATGTTGTTTTACAGACCTAGCTTGTTAATGTTGTATTACACACCTAGCTTGTTGATGTTGTATTACAGACCTAACTGGTTAATGTTGTATTACACACCTAGCTTGTTGATGTTGTATTACACACCTAGCTTGTTGATGCTGTATTACACACCTAGCTTGTTGATGTTGTATTACACACCTAGCTTGTTGATGCTGTATTACAGACCTAGCTTGTTGATGTTGTATTACAGACCTAGCTTGTTGATGTTGTATTACAGACCTAGCTTGTTGATGTTGTATTACAGACCTAGCTTGTTGATGTTGTATTACACACCTAGCTTGTTGATGTTGTATTACAGACCTAGCTTGTTGATGTTGTATTACAGACCTAGCTTGTTGATGTTGTATTACACACCTAGCTTGTTGATGTTGTATTACAGACCTACCTTGTTGATGTTGTAATACACACCTAGCTTGTTGATGCTGTATTACAGACCTAGCTTGTTGATGTTGTATTACACACCTAGCTTGTTGATGTTGTATTACACACCTTGCTTGTTGATGTTGTTTTACAGACCTAGCTTGTTAATGTTGTATTACACACCTAGCTTGTTGATGTTGTATTACAGACCTAGCTTGTTAATGTTGTATTACACACCTAGCTTGTTGATGTTGTATTACACACCTAGCTTGTTGATGTTGTATTACACACCTAGCTTGTTGATGTTGTATTACACACCTAGCTTGTTTATGTTGTATTACAGACCTAGCTTGTTAATGTTGTATTACACACCTAGCTTGTTGATGTTGTATTACAGACCTAACTTGTTGATGTTGTATTACACACCTAGCTTGTTGATGTTGTATTACACACCTAGCTTGTTGATGTTGTATTACACACCTAGCTTGTTGATGCTGTATTATAGACCTAGCTTGTTGATGTTGTATTACACACCTAGCTTGTTGATGTTGTATTACACACCTAGCTTGTTGATGTTGTATTACACACCTAGCTTGTTGATGTTGTATTACACACCTAGCTTGTTGATGTTGTATTACACACCTAGCTTGTTGATGTTGTATTACACACCTAGCTTGTTGATGTTGTATTACACACCTAGCTTGTTGATGTTGTATTACACACCTAGCTTGTTGATGTTGTATTACACACCTAGCTTGTTGATGTTGTATTACACACCTAGCTTGTTGATGTTGTATTACACACCTAGCTTGTTTATGTTGTATTACAGACCTAGCTTGTTGATGTTGTATTACAGACCTAGCTTGTTGATGTTGTATTACAGACCTAGCTTGTTGAGGCTGTTTTCCTCCATCAGTCTGTTTATCAGTCCGTTTCCTTTCTCTATGGTACACACTGCTATGTCCACCTGACTGAGCCCCCCAGGAGGGGAGTAACTCCCCATAAACCCACTCACTACCACCCCAACATCCTGGAACAACTGCTGTAAACAAACAATAAAATGATTCAGAGTAACTCCCCATAACCCCGCTCACTACCACCCCTACATCCTGGAACAGTTGCTGTAAACAAACAAGAGGCCCATGGGCCTTATAGGTCACCTGAGCATTATGCAACAACTTTCCAGTGATTGAATTTTATTCATGTTTTAATCCAGATGCTATGGCATTCACAATTTTGAAATAGGCACCATTGATCATCATAACAATACACTTAGCAGTTGCTTAGTTTGTTTACTTAATACCCATAGGCAGGTTAGGGGAACAAAAACTGCATTTCAAGTAATCAGTAATATTCAGCATGATCAGTAATGCCCCAATCACACATGAACCCCTGACCCTTAGGCCTAGATGCACACATTGCACAATTTTTGAAAAGGCACCCTTGCTTTTCAAAAATATTTGATAAATACCAAGGAGCAGATTTCAAACAATTCATCCTGTTTCAGTATATAAGTACAGCCCCCCACTCCTTTATGGTACCCTTGACCCTGGGGCCTTGAAATTCACAATTCTGGAAGATTTGGACCCTTACTCATCATAACTACATAGGTAGTTCATCTGCTTAATACCAAGGAGCAGAGAAGAAAACTTTCAAAGATTTAGTGTATTTTCATTGTATAATCAATAAAGCCCCACCTTATCACTAGAATCCCTGACCCTGGGGCCATAAAATTCAAAATTTTGGAAGAGGCACTCTTGCTCATCATAACTATGCACTTATTTAGTTTATTTAATACCCAGACGCAGAGAAGAAGATTTTCAAAGAATTCATGTATTTTCACTATATAATCTAAAGAGCCCCCCCCCTACTCCAGAACCCCTGACCCTGGGGCCATCGAATTCACAATTTTGGTAGAAGCACTTTTGCTCATCATAACAAAGCACTTAGTTAGTTAATTCAATACCCAGGGGCAGAGAAGAAGATTTTCAAAGAATTCAAGTATTTTCACTATATAATCTATAGAGCCCCCCCCCCCCCTTACACCAGAACCCCTGATCCTGGGGCAATAAAATTCACAATTTTGGTAGAGGCACTCTTGCTCATCATAACTATGCACTTATTTAGTTTATTTAATACCAAGGAGCAGAGAAGAAGATTTTCAAAGAAATAATGCATTTTCACTATATAATCTATATAGCCCCCCCCCCCCCCTTACACCAGAACCCCTGACCCTGGGGCCATAGAATTCACAATTTTGGTAGAGACACTCTTGCTCATCATAACTATGCACTTATTTAGTTTATTTATTACCCAGGAGCAGAGAAGAAGATTTTCAAAGAATTCAAGTATTTTCACTATAACACAATCCAAAACAAAAAGGGAAAATCAAAATTCCCTTTTTTTCACCCAAGGTTTACAATCTGAAGTCATTTTGGTCTTAAAATCCTTATTTGTGTCTCGACAAGTTCCCTTTTTGCAGATTTTTTTAAGTATTTGAGGAACGTTCCTCTTTCTACACTTCAGATGCATTTGTTATGACCAGACTTTTGAGGAACGTTCCTCTCTCTGATCTTCAGATGCATTTGTTATGACCAGAGATTTGAGGAACGTTCCTCTCTCTGAACTTCTGGTACATTTGTTATGACCAGACTTTTGAGGAACGTTCCTCTCTCGAACTTCAGATGCATTTGTTTTGACAAGACATTTGAGGAACGTTCCTCTCCCTGAACTTCTGGTGCATTTGGTATGACCAGAGATTTGAGGAACGTTCCTCTCTCTTAGCTTCAGATGCATTTGTTATGACCAGAGATTTGAGGAACGCTCCTCTCTCTGAACTTCTGATGCATTGTTATGACCAGACATTTGAGGAACATTCCCCTCTCTAAACTAAGATGCATTTATTATCACCAGACATTTGAGTAACGTTCCTCTCTTACAGATGTGCACATACAGTGTGTATTTTTAAATACCTTATGAATGAACACATCAGGCATTTGAGGAACATTCCTCTCTCAAATTTACTTATTACCGTAGGCATCTCATGTATTTTCAAATATTAGGCATTAAAGGAACGGTCCTCTTCCAATTTCAAATATTGATACTATATACACCATGTACACTGGAGGAACATTCCTCTTCAAACTATTGACACTGGATATACTAGTCTAAACACAACATATTTGAGGAACGTTCCTCATCCAATTTCAAATATTGATACTATATACACTGGAGGAACGTTCCTCTTTCAACTTGACACTGTATTTACAAGTTTTAACACACAATATCACAAACGTTCATCAGTCAATTTCAATTGATAATACATACTACATGTATATAAACAGTACATTTGAGGAACGTTCCTCTACCAATTCCTATCAAAAACACTACAACCATGAATCTTAATACACTGAACGTTCATCTCCCCATTTCAAAATTTGACACTGGACTGGAGGAACATTCCTCTTCCAACTGTTGACAATGGATTCATGTCGAATACTCCTCTTCTGATTTCAAATGCTATTATATAACTTTATATATGAATCAGAGTATAATTGGATTTGAAGAAAGCTGTACACCCAGGTACTCCCTAACGTAAAAGTAGATAATCCTGTTGATTTCATAAAGTCAAATTTCAAGGTTGAGACTATTCTGACACAAAAAAATAATGTCTGCTTAAAATTTTGGGAACCCTTTGCTTTACAGACATCAAACTTAGTATACTGGTACTCCCAAAGGAATAAAGACCCCTACTGATTTTGGGTTACAAGGTGAAAGCACAAAGCTCAAACTGATCTAGAAATAGAAAAGTATTGTTTACTCAATATTTCAGTAACTTGAGATTCTAATGTTTGAAAAATAATTTAATGCACTAGATCTGTAGTCCTCCTAAGAAATATGTGACCACTTTTGATTTGGGGGTCATAACTCGATCACAAGATCAAGTACGTGTCATTCTTGACAATTAATATTTTAGGAAATCATTTTTCAGTCAATTTTGTGAAAAGCCTCTTATTATTACAGACATTAAACTCGTTGGTACCACTCCTTTAGGAGTATACATGATTACATTTTATTTTGAGGTCATTAGGTCACTTAGGAATGTATATCTGCTGAATAAAGAGTAAATATTTATTTTTATTTTAAATTAGAAAAAGGGCAACTGTTTGAATCGTGCAAGAGACATAAATCTACAACAAGGAATTGATCAAAAAAGTTATACCATTCCCCTGGTCCCCTGCATTTACCATTATGATATAAAACTGTTGTATAAAGCAATGCTTTCTTACACTAAAATGAACAATTTTCTTTAACAATTGAAATTTTATGATTATTTATTAAATGAAAAAATCTTTCAGGAAAAGTATTCTTACCCTTAGCTTTTTTAGTATAGTTCATCCAAGATTAATTTATGAAAAGTCAGTGCATTGACCAGTAAATTCTCTATAAGTTGAACATACATTGACATTTGAAAATCATGCACGTGTTTCTACTTACTTCATCACGCAGTTTTATGACCAAAACTAATTTTATAACTTTATCACAGTATATCACAGTATATCACAGTATAACACAGTATAACACGCAGATATATCAATGTCTAATTTCTCCAATTTCGAATTCCCCTTCAAACAACAGTTGCATTTAAATGATAGCTGCACAGTTCACATGTGCAACTGCGATCCTTCCATACATATTTGAATGGAAACATGTGGTGCCACTAACTGAAGAAATGTCAATCAAAACACTGCACACTGATAATCTTGGGTGTGTTATCAGTCTTGGACACATCTATCTCTCAACCCAATGCAGAAGATGCTCATCACATCGAAAGATTGTTGAATAAAACAGGATGTTGCAGTTCTTCACAGTTAAGGATTTATCAAGGTATATATGCAAATAATATCAATTTATGAAAATTCTTTGTATGCTTTGTTTGCATAAAAATTAAAATAAAATATTTTATCAATAACTTAGTCAGAGTTGATCAATCCTGCTGAAATATAAGCTGTCAGACACTTCCAAATACCAGTAAATTAAAATGAGAAATTTACTTTAATTTTAGACAAAATGATATGCCCTGGATTTCAATGTAAAAGAAAACGAATACCCTCATGACACCACTTGCAGCAACATTTCAGAGAAATGATTAAAGTGTCCTAAACAAATCAAGTAAGTACCGTAATCATAATTTTCATTATTAGTTGGGAAATATAATATATGTTTTCAAATGCTGTACATGGCAGGAAATAGATTAATTATATTGAATATAGTAAAACATGTTTAAAAAGCAGTGCCAGGGATCGACGGATGATTTTGCATTATTATGAGCGAAATTCGTTATGAAGATAAAAATACATAATTAAGTCACAGGGAATAAAAGCACTTCGCTGTAACTCAATTCAACATATTATTATTCATCATTTACTTATCTCAATTTATTTATTTATTTTTGGGGGGGTGGGAGTGGGGATGGGTGGGGTCCATGCCCATACTAATTTTTTTGGCTTCCTAACACAGGAAACTTTGATTGAGAATTTGCTCCTTAAAAAATTACCCCCCCCCCCTTGCCACTGAACGTATCCTATATACTTTCTAAAAATATGCAAAATATACATATTTATGTAGTGTTTTCAATTTGTATTACCGGGTATATTTTTAATTTGTAAACTGGCATGATTTAACATGTCCATGTATTAACTATACATTATTGATAAGAGACGTACACTCTATTTTGAATTAAAATTTGGACAGACCTGGTATATTTTATATGCCAAGTCAGTGTCTTATTTGCTTTTTTTTAATAAGACATTAATTGATTTGATAAAGAGAACAATAGCTGTGTTTCACCTAGTTCAATCCAAAAATCATCCGTGCTTGACTAGATGCTCAGCACTGTTAATTCTGATGGTTTTAGAGCAGAGCAGAACACATTCAACGAGGCTCAAAGGAATAATCTAGTGTGTCAAAGAATTAATGTGTTTAGATGAAACAGAGCCGTATAGTTTGTTTATGTATGGCCAATGCTGAAATCTTAAACTC